CTGAGTTTCACATATATGTAGATATATAAAATACATATCATATATTACATATCATACCTATGATATATAAAAGGTGTATGTATAGATATGTGTATATATGTCTGTGTATATACAAATGTGCATATGCATACTATATATGTAAATATATAAAATAATGTACATAAATTCAACGAGATTAAAATTTTATATACATTTTCAAGATAATATCGTTGCATGACAAAAGTAAGGTACATCACAATGTGAATGAGATGCTACCAAGTGTATAAAAAGGTTTTAAAACTTCTCATACACATACTTGCCAGTATATACCTAGAAATCTTGAAGAGAAGACAAAAAAACTGGTAATGGTGATCGCCTCTGGCTGGAGGACAGAGACGGCTACTTTTGCTCTTCACTGTATGCTTTTACAGCATTTGACATTTGTACATGTGAACATATAACCTATTGAAAATAACTAAATAAAAGTTAAATGTTAAACAAATGAATTAAAATAAGAGCTAGAAAAGATGGGGCACTCAGTGCTGAGAACACACAAGGGTATGGGGGAGGAGTGTGAAGAAGGGAAAGGATTCTAGGAGGTGGGGACACCTGAGCTGAGTCTTGAAGGACAAACAAGCAACATCACGACCACAGGGAAGAAGGGTGTTCCTGACAGAGGCAGGGACATATGAGCCAACAGGTGGATTCCTTGAATGCAACAGGTGCATTCAAGGAAACACCAGCAGTATGGGTTGGCTGAAGCTCTTGGAGTTCTGGAATGACCACCAGGACATGAACCAGGCAGGTGCATCCCAGGCCACCTCTTGCTTGTCACACCAAGAAGTCGGGGCTTTGGCCATGAAAGCATTTGGGGAGCCTTTGAAAGGGGAAATGGCGACATGGCCAGGGCTCCAGTGCTCCGACACCTCTGGCAGCAGTGTGGAAGGTGGATGGAGGGCAGGGATGGGCGGAGCAAACTGGAACCTAATTCAGAAACTAGGTAAAGCCCTGACTTACACGGAGGAAGTGATGATGCAGAAGGCAGAACAGATACAGAGAGATTCAGGAGATGGCATCGACCAGATCTGGGAACCGATTCCAGGGCTGGGGTAAGAGGAATAAAGGAAACTCCAACCATCTCACTTGGGCTGCCATCATCTGAGAGAAGGAACTGGGACAGAGAAGCAGGTTGGGGGCGGAAGAGGAAGAAATGACTCTAGGGGGAGGTAGAACGGTGGGTTCAAATTGCTAGCTGTACGTCCTGGAGCAATTGGACTCAAGTCTCTGAATTTCAGTTGCCTCGTTTGTAAAATGGAGCTAATATCTACCCTAGAGGATTATTTCAGCCAGGAGATGCAATGCTTTATACACAGCACCTGCCACACTGCCGGGCACACAGTAGGTACTTAATAAGAGGCAGCCTTGGACAACGTAGAAATTATACATGGTAGAAATGTCTCTACAACACAGGAATGCCTAGTTCATTAAGGTAGGGACTTTTTTAAAAAAGTAAAGGAGAATGTGTGTGATTCAATTGATTCAAAGTTTCATTTCTCTTGGTCCCTACAACAGCCTCTCACCTGGATAGCCTGTGATCAGTTAAGAGTGTGATCCAGGGCCACAGACCTATTGCTATCTCTGGGCAAGCATCTCACAACCCAGGCCTTTGTTAAAAGCACATTCACCGGGACTAGTCACAGTGGCTAGTTTCAATTCCAGGCAAACACTAGCATCTATAACCTCCAACAGCCAGACCAGCCTGATAACTCTTTAGGGTTCTTTACTTCCTGTGTCACGTTCGTTGAACCTCCCACCGTGAGTGTGAAGTAAACCAAGACGACCAACCCACTGTGTACTTGTAGCCACAAGCCTCGTCCAGGGATTTTCCAGTGAAAATGAAGTCTACAGTGAGACCAAAGTCCAGCCACATCTAAACACAGTGCCTCTATATTTTCTATAATCACAGACTACCTTGAATGACCTGCAAATGGAGGAGCTGGAAAAAAAGAAAAAAGCCCAAGGCCTGCCATGAAAATATGAACAAAACCCTATTCCTTAGCCATGGTTATTAAACTAAGTCTATTATGCCTCTTATGCTTGTTTTTGAGGAGGAGGTAACTCACATTAGTCTTGTTAACGAAAAAATTCATAGGGATTTTTGAAAATAAGAACAGAAGAGGTATCCAGAAATTTATCATTTGTGTCACATCTGAAACCAGAGCCTCCAAATATTTTCATGGCCAAAGTACCAGAGGTGATCAGAAAACAAGATCATCCTTGTTCTCCAAATTGCCACTCTCCTGGCTCTAGGTTTTCTCTGTGGGTTTGACCTGCAGGACTAAGACACCGCAGAGGGGAGAAGTGATGTTACAACACAGTCTTTCTGATATGACCAGTCCTAAGCCCTCTAGTATAGCTGGGGCTGCAGACAGACCAGTTTTACACAAGTTGCCCTAAGAGAATTATACCATAAGATGGTTATAAGCCATTTGATAGGCACAGATCCAATGCAAACAAGGGCATTAGCTACCCAACTATATATAT